TCCAGGTGTTGGATGACGTTTTTCAAACTTTTATTTTTGTCTTTTTCCTTCTCGTATTTCTTCTTCCACTCCTCTGCCGTCAGCTCCAGGTTCACCGACACCGTGTTCTTAATGGTCTTGGCCCTGCCCAACAAAACCCGGCTCAGCTGGGCTGGGATTAACTTGGGAGCATGGCCAGGGGTGGGGATTTCAACATGATGGGAAGGGAAATTAATGGGGAAATATCCTGGGGAAGTCAGGGATTGCTGGAGAAATTGGGGATTCCTGGGAAATTGGGGATTCCTGGGAAATCGGTGATTCCTGGAAAATTGGGGATTCCTGGGGAAATAGGGGATTCCTGAGAAATCGGTAATTCCTGGGGAAATTTGGGGTTTTTGGGGAATTTGGGATTCCTGGGAAATTGGGGATTCCTGGGGAAAATCGGGATTCTTGGGGAATCCTGAGCCCAGGGATGGATCCTGACCCCAGTGGGATTGAACCCAATCCCGATGGGATCAAACCCGACCCAAATGGGATTGAGCCCCATCCCAGTGGGACCCAGCCCCATCCCAATGGGATCTGGCCCAATTTTGGGACCCAGACTGATCCCTTTGGGACCTAGCCCCATCCTGGTGGCACTGAGCCCAATCCCAGTGGAATTAAACCTGATCCAAATGCGACTCAGCCAATCCCAGTGGGACCCAGCCGGACCCCAGTGGGATCCAGCCTAATCCTGGTGGGGCTGAGCTCCATCCCAATGGACCCAGCCCGATTTTGGGACTCAACCCAATCCCAGGGGGACTGAGCCAAATCCCGGTGGGACCCAGACCAATTTTGGGACCCAGCCCCATCCCTTTGGGACCCTGTGGAATTTTGGAACCCAGCCCAATCCCTTTAGGACCCAGCCTGATTTTGAGACCAAGTCCCATCCCTTTGGGACCCAGCCCGATCCGAATGGGACCCAGCCCAATTTTGGGACCCAGCCTGAACCCGGTGGGACCCAGCCCAATTTTGGGACTCAGCCCCATCCCTTTGGAACCCAGATGGATTTTGGGACCCAACCCAATTTTGGGACCCAGTCCAATCCCTTTGGGACCCAATCTGATTTTGAGACTCAGCCCCATCCCTTTGGGACCCTGTGGGATTTCAGGACTCAGCCCCGTCCCTTTGGGACCCTGTGGGATTTCAGGACTCAGCCCCATCCCTTTGGGACCCTGTGGGATTTCAGGACTCACCGCTGCCCAAACATCAGCGTGGATTTGGTCTCGGCCTCGTTGAACACGGAGGGCGAGCAGCAGATGACGATGGTGGTCCTGCAGTTGCCCCCCAGGGAATCCTGGAGGATCCGGGTCATTTTGCTGTCTCGGTAGGGAACGTGGGTTTTCTAAGCCAAATACAAGGAAAAGACAAAAAAAAAAATTCATTTTAAATTTGAGAGAGAACGTCAGCTCGCAGTGAGAGCGGGAATGGATGTGAAGGGCACAATTCTGAGGAGGAATTGCTCAGCAACATCACTGAGGATCAATTCCTCACCCTGGGCAGAGCAGACACRAAGTGTYCCCAGTGTGGGGCTGCTCAGCCCCTATTTCCTGCCCCCAGAACGGAGCTGTCAGATCCCCTTTCCCCTGAACAGCCCAGGAACAGCAATAAAAACCCCAAAACCCGCTCCTCACCCCAAAACCCGCTCCTCACCCCAAAACCTGCTCCTCACCCCAAAACCAGCCCTACTCACGGTTCCCTCGGCCAGCGCTGAGATGACGTTGCCCAGGGCTGACAGGGATTTGTTGATGTTTTTGGCTTCATCCAGAACGGCCCCCTCGGCTCCGGTTTTGCTGACCTGGGACAGAGAGGGACAGAGAGGGACAGAGAGGGATAGTTGGGATCGGCCGGGGCCACGTGGAGCCACAGCCCTGAGAGGGGCCCTAAAGATCATCCTGGGAGAAAAAACCATCTTGGGGGGATAAAACCTTCCTGGGGTAACAAAACCCTCCTGGGGGAGAATCCTAAAGATAATCCTGGGGGGAAAAAGCCCTCCTGGGGGAGCAAAACCCTCCTGGGGGAGAAAAACCCTCCAGGGGGAGAATCCTAAAGATAATCCTGGGGGAAAAACCCTTCTGGGGGAGAAAAACCCTTCTGGGGGAACAAAACCCGCCTGGGAGGGACAAACCCTCCTGGAGGAGAATCCGAAAGATAATCCTGGGGGAGAAAAACCCTCCTGAGGGAGAATCCTAAAGATAATCTTGGGGGAAATAATCATCCTGGAGAGGAAAAACCCACCTGGGGGAAAAAAATCCTTCTGGTGGAGAATCCTAAAGATAATCCTGGGGGAAAAAACCCTCCTCGGGGAGCAAAACCCTCCTGGGGGAGAAAAATCCTCCGGGGGAGAATCCTAAAGATAACCCTGGGGGAAAAAACCCTCATGGGGGTGAAAAAAACGCTTCTGGGGGAACAAAAACTTCCTGGGGAGAATCCTAAAGATAATCCTGGGGGGAAAAACACTCCTGAGGGCAAAAGCCCTCCTAAGGGGAAAAGCCCTCCTTGAGGAACACCCTAAAAATAATCCTGGAGGAGCAAAACCCTTCTGAAGGAGCATCCCAAAGATAATTCTGGGGGAAAAAAACCGTCCTGGAGGAACATCCTAAAGATAATCCTGGGGCAGCAAAACCCTCCTGGAGGAGCAAAATCCTGGAGAAGAACTCTAAAGATGCCCCTGGAGGAACAAAACCTTCCTGGAGGAAAATCCTAAAGATAATCCTGGGGGAACATCCTAAAGATAATCCTGGAAGAACAAAACCCTCCTGGAGGAACGTCCTAAAGAGGGGTGAGCAAAACCCTTCTGAGTGAGCAAAACCTTCCTGGGGGAGAATCCTAAAGACACACCTGGAAGAACAAAACCTTCCTGGAGGAGCATCCTAAAGATAATCCCGGGGGAACAAAATCCTCCTGAGGGGGAAAATCCCTCCTGGGGGAGAATCCTAAAGATAATCCTGGAGGAACAAAATCCTCTTGGAGGAGAATCCTAAAGATAATCGTGGGGGAGCAAAACCCTCCTGAAGGAAAATCCTAACATAATCCTAGGGGAGCAAAACTTTCCTAGAGGAACAAAACCCTTCTGGTGGAGTATCCTAAAGGTAATGTTGGGGGAACATGCTCAAGATAATCTTGGAAGAGCAAAACCTTCCTGGAGCAGAATCCTAAAATAATCCTGGAGGAACAAAACCCTCCTGGGGGAGCATCTCAAAGATAATCCTGGAGAAGCAAAACCCTCTTGGAGGAGCAAAACTCTCTGGGGGAACATCCTAAAGATAATCCTGGACGAACAAAACCCTCCTGGAAGCGCAAAATGCCCCCGAGACCCAGCCCCATCCTCGGGGTGGATCCCAGTGGGATCAGAGCAGGAAAAAGGGGATTTGACCTTCTCGCTGCCCGCCAGGTCCACCAGGTAGAGTTTCCCGCTGAGTTTCTKCTCGGTCTCCACGTTCTCCTGTTTGATGTTGATGAGGAAGATGCTGTGGCTCCTGGAGCTGTGTTCGTTCATGTCTGCAACAACACAGCACAACTTTGCATTCTGCTTTTCATCGTTTGTTTCAATCCCTTTTGTTAAAAAACCTTTAAACACCAGCAGGGAATTCCCTCCCACCCCAAAACCCAAAATTGTCCCGTGGCCACCAAATCCCAAAATCCCAAAGATTTGGCAGCTCTGGGTGGAGCTCTGAGAGGGGAGCTGACACTGAGTGAAAGTTTTCACCCCAACCACAATATTGAAATACAAATTTTATGGTTTTATTGTTTCTGGAGGTAAAAATCCTTCTTTACCCAGACAAAAGCAGTTATTGTTTCAACTTCCACCTAATTTTCGCTTTGATTGCAACCCTGTTATGCTGGAAATTCATGAAGGAAATTCATAAGTCATTGACACGTGGAGGAATCAATAATTTATTGATCAATTAATCAATCACCACTGATGATCAGGAGGGATCCATAAATCATTGACATAAGGAGCTATTGATGATTCATTGATCAATCACCTCCACTCAAAGCTACCAATGATTCATTGATCGATCACCTCCACACAGAGTTATCAGTGATTTATTGATTGATCACCTTCACTCAGAGCTATCAATGATTTATTGACCGATCACCTCCACACTGAGCTATCAATGTCTTTTGATCAATCACCTTCACACTGAGCTACCAATGATTCATTGATCACCTCCACACTGAGCTATCGATGATTCATTGATCGATCACTTCCACTCAAAGCTACCAATGATTCATTGATCCATCCATTATGCATAAATCACTGACATAAGGAGCTATCAATGATTCATTGATCAACCACCTCCACTCAGAGCTATCAAAGATTCATTGATCACCTCCACACTGAGCTATCGATGATTCATTGATCACCTCCACACAGAGCTATCAATGATTCATTGATCAATCCATTACCCATAAATCATTGACATAAGGAGCTATCAATGATT